TGAGTCTAAATCATGATAGAAAGTTACTTTTTCTATTTTCGGTTAAATAAATATTAATATTTTGAATCTTCTTCGTGCAAAAAGATATTGGTTATGAGAAATGGTCAAGGACTTACATGACAAGCAACCTATTTTCTACAATGACTTCAAACATAGCTGAATCAGTAAATTCGATAACAAAATTAATGAAAGGTTGTCCAATAGAGCCTTTATTGAAATCATTGAGATATTTGTTACAATAATGATTTGTAAAGCATATAAATAATGCACGGGAAACCTTCATAACACTTCCACCAAACAAGAAAAAAAACTCAGAGAAAAATCTGTAGAGTCAAAGAAAATGAAGGCAAAAAGCTATAGACCTGCTGTTTTGTTATTGTATGTCAAGATTTCTATTATAACATGATTTGTAACCTTTATTCATATCGAATTTTCACTTTAAATCTTCATTTCATATAAAATAGTCACAAATTTATTGACGGAGTATTTGTTGCATTATGCACATAGGTATCAACTTCAAGTTCGAAATTGTACCAAGTTAATGATGGTAGTGCCTCATATTTAGTGAATATGGAAGAAAGAACATGCACATGCAACCAATTCCAAGTGGACAAGATTCCATGTGCACATGCACTTGCCGTTATTGGAAAGATAAAGAGGGATTCATATCTATATTGTTCGGTATTTTATACAACAAATATGTATATTCAAACATATAGTGCAACAATTTTTCCATTAGGAGATTACAATGAGTGAAATATACCAGATGAGGCAAAAATAAGAATAGTCTTGGCTCCTAGCCCAAAAAGAAAATCCGGACGACCTAAAGAAAAAAGAATAGCATCAAAAGAAGAGAAAATTCAAAGTGCAAAATGTGGAAGATGTGGGATAATGATCACAATCGTAGATCATGTCAAAATCCACCAAATGCGAAAAAGAAACCACAAAAGAAAAGGAAGTTAGAAGATATATGAAACTAGATTATTTGATATTTTTTGTTTTGTTCGTTTTTCAATTGAAATATTTTAAGAATTGCAAAAATACTTTAAGTAAAATGTTTATTTTGAAATTTATTAGACTTGTTTTCGGGAAAAAAAAAATTGAACAGTTCATGTGAACAGTAAAAAAAATTAAAAAAAAAGTTTTGGATTTTTTTTCATTAACAGTGTTCCAGGAACAGTACCAGTACAATTACTGTTCACGTGAACATTAAAGACCAAAAAAATAAATTATTTTACATGACATGACAAAGAGTTCTAGGATTTTAATTATTCTATGACATACTTTGACTATTGCAAATTTTTTTTGTTATAGATTTTGTCTCATTTTATAGCAGTTTGGATTACCATTCACATCAATACCCATTTATTTTTATGCATTTGTCTCTTTATTTTGAAGAATAAATTATTGTTTAAATTGATTTCGAGTAATAGTAGTTTAGAAATTAAATTATTATAGTTTCATGCCTATGGTTTAAATCTTATATGTGATAAATTTTTATGTGCTTTAACTTTAGCTTTTGGGGATGTTTTAAAAAATGGACCTTTGAAAAATTGATATTTTAAGAGATTTCACGTTTGGTTTATTGTTTGAATTTTGTTGAATTGTGTAATTGTAAATTTGAAAAGTTTTGTCAAAAAGATCTAAACTGTCTAAGAAGAGCTTGAGATTTAAGTGGTCCCTCTGTGACCCCCCTCTTCATCTGGAAGCCTTTTAATTGTGTGTTATTCAAATCGACAAGATGAAAGACAATATTTTGGACAATTCTAAATTTAAGAAGATTCAAAATTTTGAAACTTCTATTTTGAAATATTTTTATTAAAAGATATATACATGTAAAGTTAAAAAATAATATAATAATAATAATAATAATAATAATAATAATAATAATAATAATAATAATAATAATAATAAAGTGAGATTTCGTGAAATTTTTTATGTAAAATGAGATTACATGCCTTAATTAATATGTAATTATATACATACTTTGAAACCAACTTTTCAAATGTTAGCCCACAATTACCTTTAAGTATTAATTTTTATAAAATAAGCTAATTTCTTAAAATACTACGTGGTTGTTACATAACTCTATTAGTACTTATGTGTTATTACTATGATTTTATTTTCAAGAATGTATATGTATGTATTATATGTTGTGTTTAAATAACCATTTATAACGTGATTTTAAATAAGATACCGTTGTTAGAAACTTTTACTTCTTGACTTTTTCTATTCTAAGAAATTCATAAATAACTATAGTCAAATTATTTAAAAAAATTAAAACAAAACAAATAATTTTATAAGAACACTTGGCACGTAGCGCTCACCATTGACTACTCTCCAATTGATCCCAGGTATGAAATGTAATAACATATTTTTAGCATGATTCATATTATGAAATGTATACGCATGTTCACCTCGCATAATATATTTGTCATTTTTTTTCATTTTACTAGAATATCGTTCATGTACTAAGAATAAAATAATATTGACAATGCAAGATTAAGCATAATTGGAATTATACTTGTCACATGATTAGGATGACTAGGAACAGCCCAACATATCTCCAGCGTACTGAAATGGCCATTGAGAACTACTTAAATTATGAAGTAAGATAGGAGCGAAATTTTGTCAAATATGTTGAAGATTTCCTTTTTAAGTGGGAACGAGCAAGATCATTCGGATATAATGAGGGGACAGTCCTCTCGATATACCACCTTATAAGCACTATACGACCACAATGGAGAGGCGTGGCTTAATTCGTGAGAGATATGGATTATGAGTTATATTTGGAAGAAGATTGGGATAAGATTGATTTTAAAGTATACTGTGAGGATATCATAATTTTATGGAATCACAGACAACAAACACCAGTGACCGAGCCCGAATCCAAGCCCGAACCTGAACCAGAGTTAGAGGAGGACCCTGAGGAGGAGCCAGAAGAGGAGCTAGAGGAAGAGATCGAACCAAAGCTGGAAGACCCTGAACAAGAAATCCAACCACATAATTTCATTCATTTGGTTGCAGATTCCGAGCTAGAGTCATGCATTACTTCGGATGATGAGATGCCATAAAAAAAGATTTTTTTTTGGACTCACAGGGATTAGAAATAAGTGTTATTTATTTACTTAGGAAAAGTTTAATTAATTAATTAATTATTTATTTTGAAGAGCAAGTTATTATATGTAAGGATTTGGAAATTTATATTTTTTTAAAATTATTATTATTACAAAGATTATTAATAATATTAGGTTGTTTTATCAAATATTCCTAAATTAAATTAAAATTTTATCTGTGCTAAGAAAATGTCAAGACAACAACAAAACCAAGCTACGATCTTCAGAGATTTGCTGAGGGCAGTATAAGATTTGGGAAGGCAACAAGCACAGACTGGTCCCTAAGTTGCAAACACTAATAAGATCAGCTCAATTGTGGAACAGTTCCGTCGCTACAAACCGCCAACCTTCGATGGCAAGGCAGACCCACTAGTAGCCGAAGAATGGATAAGAGGAATGGAGCGAATTTTCAAACATCTATCTTGCACTGATACTCAAAAGGTGTTATGCGCATAATTTATGTTGGTTGACGCTGTAGGATAGTGGGAGTCAGCATCTCGCACTAGAATAGAAGCACAACAACGTGCTCTGATGTGGACACAATTTAAGGATGAAATGATGGGAAAATACTTCCCCCAAACTCTGAGAGATCAAAAGGAGACAAAATTCCTTCAACTTAAACAGGGAAAAATGAAGCTTGAGAATTATGGGGGAAAATTCGAACAACTCTCGAGGTATGCACCACGCCTAGTGAACACTGAAGCAAAGAAAGCAAGGAGGTTCGAGCTGGGATTGCGTCTTGAGATTGGTGGAATATTGGCATCCCACCAATTCACCACCTATAACCGAGTATTGCAGATTGCCCAAGAAATCTCAAATAGGTTGGAATTGACCAAACTCCCCAGCAAGGGGTCGAGTCTTCAGGAAAGAGGAAATGGAATGGGTCCAACGAAGAGACAGGGGAAGGACCGAACAAGAAGGCTAAGTTCGGACCAGGTTTTGGACAAGTTGTTCCACCTTGTCCAAAGTGCAAGAAAGTGCATAGGGGTAAGTGTCTGTATGGGAAGCACGTGTGCTATAGATGCGGTAAAATCGGTCATATTTCCAAAAATTGTAAATAAGACCTTTCGAAGAAGAATGACGAGCCAGAAAGGAAGGAAAATGCCAGAGTTTTTACTTTAGCCCAAGGATAGGCTACGGAAGACTCGAACGCAAGTAAATTTCAAGGACGAAATTCTCTTAAGGAGGGTAAATTGTAGCAACCCAAAAATTTTATAGATAAAAATTTATTTATTTTGTATATTATATAAATTCCTATTTTTTTTTGGGTCAAATAAATTAGATTTCGATAGAGAAATTATAAATATATCAATATTGTACTCGTTGGATAACTCGTAATTAATTATGCATTTTAAGCTCGAGAAAAAATTAATTTAGATAAGTTAGGCACACGATATTATAGTTTAAGAATATTAATTAAGTTGGTAGGTGATACAAATTTAAACTTTATGCAGCTACGAGAAGACCATATTTTAATAAGTTTAACAGTAATCTTAATTGGATAATGATTTAGTGTAATATTAATCCTAGTTTCATTATTTTAAACTAGTTCTTATCCAAATTATTTGTCACGTTTATCTTTATTTTGATAAAGGTTGAATCGTATCCACTTTTTGTTTTCCATTCTGAAATCCGTCCCACGCGTGCACGTAAATGATGTGATTGTATTTGTTTTGACTTTGAAATTTATAGGATGGCTACACATATACTGTTGGATAAAGATAGTTTTTTTTTTGCCCTTTTTGAATAAGATAATATAATAGTACAATTTGGCTAGACTTTTGGTTCCATGGTACATGAATTGGCTCTATCATATAAATATTTTATGTTTATCCATTCCATATCCTACACCTATTTATATAGAGGCATGATGTAAGAGTTTTGTACAAAAAAAATAAAAAATAAAAAAATTCATCGCACCCATATGGTAGAGAGAGAGGGAGAGGAAAGAGTGTTTGAAATCAGAAAATTTCATACCGTCAATGGTCTTAATTTCACCAAGGCAGAGAAAGGAAAGAACGTGCATTCAGATTTTATCTTTCAATAGCGTGGTAAAATACTTTAAGTGCAAGTGCTTTTGTTTCCTTATGTGTTTTCGAATACTCACTCTTACAAATTTTTACAAGTTAGTTCTGATCGATTAAAATTGTGGAGGGCAGTGATGCGAGCTGCCAAGTGATTTGTAGTAACAAAGAATAAATTTTCCATTAAGTTTTTCTTCTTTCATAATTATTTATTAATTTTAAGACATGTTTATTGTTATTTTCTAGATACAACGGTTATGTTTAATTTAAATTATGAATGCCACAGTTATTACTTATATAAAAAAAATTAATTTTGATCTTTTCGTATGTAAAATAATGAAAAATGAATTTTGGTAACGTTGTTGTGTTATGAAAATTTGGGGTGTACTTTTACATTTTCCACTAACTACATGGTTTTGAAAAATCAGACAGAGTTTATGACCTTATTGCGCTTGTAACAATATATTGTGACCTCATTTTGTCAGTAGTCACAGCGCGACGGATTTTAATATGTTGATGTTTTATCAGTGGTCATGATGGCTCCATGCTTGATTTTAAAATTCTGATGTGACCTGAACTTGTTATTCATTCGGATCTTATATTTACGTTTCACATTTTCACTGATTGTGTATTATTTTGTGACCTCAAATATCATTGTATGTTCACAGGTGTCCCCTTCTAACACAACTTATTTGAAGGGCTGATAACTCATCATACTTGACTGATATTAACGTACATGTACTTATAATAGGATGTGCCAAGTTGATCAACTGCCTTGTCCTTACTCCTTATCAGTGATAACAACTTTAATGTTTGATGCATATGATTATTGTTCTTATTACTGCACGAGATTTCTATGTGAATACATACCAATCTACTATGTTTCTTGTAGTAATCAAAATGAATAGTTATGGCCAGTTGAGATCATTGATAGGATTTTACTAGCACCTAATTAAAAGTTATGTGCTAGAAGGCCTATCGTAAAGAGGAAGAAATCAACAACAAAAATAAATAAATAAAATAAAATAAGATTTTGAAATGTAAAAGATGTTGTGGATATAGTAACAATAGGAGAACATGCAACAACTTGGAACCCCTACGCCAAACATAAGGACAAGAGAATCCAAATAAACATAGAATAGTCGGTAAATAGTAAATAATTTGTATTTGATTCGATTGGAAGAGAATTATTGCATTCTTTCATTTCTATAGAGTTATGGCTGAAAAATAGTTTACAAATTTCATACTACTTGGATAAATCCCGTAAGCATACCGGATCATTGAAAAGTAATAATTTTAGTAAGTTAGAGTATTGTGAACAGGGTAATAATTCTTAAAGCAAACTGCATTAGTTTGTAGTTAATTTCAAATGTATGTAAACAAAAGAAAAGATTTTTTTTTAATTCCAAATTATTTTGCAAATTATCCAAATGCTTTATGTATTGGACTTGTGAATCCACCTAATGTTGTTCTTTTTCCAATTTTCGACTTTTGTAATTAATGATATTTATATATTCATGATAATCGATAATCCAATTTTATCTAATTACCTCTTTCGAGATAAGTTAAACATATTCTAAACACGATCCAATCATTTTCTTATTATGAATTCATATGCAAAGTTAAAGCATTCAATTGTATGATTATTTATGTGATTGCACATCCCATGCATATTATTCCTAACATCTATTGCTTTTTAATTTTTTAATTTTTTTATATTGCTATGTTCTAAACCTATTGTTAATTTCCCAAAACTACAATAAGCAATTAATTATCTAATTGATGGCCAATAAATCAAGTAATGCAACAAGACATGCAATATCAATCAATAAAACACAAATATACAAAACTACTAGTCTTTGAATTAAAATTAATAAATCAAAGGTTTTTTCTTCATCCAGTACAAGCAAGAATCTAGCCTAGCATGATTGCCATGATTTCCATGATATTTAAAGAAGAAATATGAAAAGATATCACATGGAACATGTTTTTATACAAGAAATCTTGATCTTCAATTTCAAGCTCTAAATCTTCAAGTTCTTGATATAATTTGCCTTCAAGTTCTTCCTATATTTGATCTTCTCTCAAAAATTACGGGGAATTCACCTCTTGTTCTTAATTTATTCTTTGATATGAATTGATTAGAGAGAGAATTAAAAGAAAAAGATTTTAATCAATACCAAGAGGTGATTTAATTAGATGTTAATTTTCTTTGTTATGTAAGACTCAAGACAAATTGTTGGAATTGGAAGAAAGAAACGAAAAGGGGTAAAAACAAAAAATAAAAAATAAAAATCCAAAGTTCAGAACCAAAGTGCAAACATTCAATAGTTAATTCGAATCATAAAACAATAATTAAAGATCATATATGATCAACTGGATACAATTGGAAGTCATAAGAGTAAAATATAATTAAAGTGTTTTCATAAGTCAATTTCTAGCTGAAAAAGTTAGGCACTAGATTTTTCGCTTTAGATTGAGACCCATTTTTCGGGTAGCAAACGTTCGAGTTGGAAATTTTTTGTTTCAAAATGAATTGTAGAACTTTGAGTTATCTTTCCAATATCCTTTGAATCACCTCAATTGGATTTCAAGAGAGAAATTTATGATCAAGTATTGAAGGTTGCTCATGGATAAAGTGATCAGAACGGGCGAGCAAGGGCCATTTTCGCCGTATGTGCTCCTAGGCCAAATTTTCTGCTAAAGAGCTAATTTCCTTTTTTATTTTTGTATTTTATCTAAACTCTTACTGATAACAACTTTGGGAAGAATTCTTGACCTAAATTCGACCATTATAAGTACAAACTAGGGAGAAATATGGAGAACTCTTTCTTACCCCTTAATGCACAATAATATCATCGAACTCATCAAGAATTAGATGCCAATTCATTAATTTTGAGATAAAAGGTCATGCTCTAGCAAGGAATTGAAGCCAAATATATCAAGATTTTGAAGAATTTAACTTTGAAATTGAAGATCAAGATTTTTTACATTATTTCATGATCAGGGTGATGATTTTCCATTATTATTATTATTTTGGTAATTGATTTAAAGGAACACTAAGCTAGATTCGTTTTTGTATGTGACGAAGATAAACCCTATTGTTTTATTTATTTTAATTCAAGACTAGTAATTTAGTTTTATTTCTTGCAATTCTTAATTAATTTTCCTTGCTCATTACATTATTTAATTGTTTGATTATCAATTAAATAATTAATTACTTATTGTAGTGTTGAGAGATTCACAATAAGTTCATAAGCGAAAAAATTAATATATGTATAATAGATGCTAGGAATAACATTTATAATGTGTGTAATTATATTGATAATCTGAAATTGAATGCGTTCTAATCATTCAAATTTGAACTAGGAATAGAATTGGATTGTGATTAAAATGGAGTTAATTTATCTTGGAAAAGAAAGATAAATACATTAGCTATATCGATTGTCAAGAATACATCGATATGATTAAAGTACATAATAGAGAATTGAAATAGATGGCAATAGGCCAATGCTAATTCGAATTCCAATATAATTATCCATAATTTAAAGAAAACCAAACATTTTCGTATTTCTTAGATTAATTTAGCATAAATAAAATAAAAATTTCTTTTGTTTACATAATTCGAATTTCATACATAACTTGTAAACTTAAATTGAAATTTGTTCTCTATGGGACAATATTTTTCAACTCTTCTTCTATTACTTATCAATGATCCCTTATACGGAATCTTACCGAACAAGTTTTTTACACCATTGTCGAAGAATAAAGTATTTAATTTGAGTTTATTAGTTTATATAGAGTTTGAAATTTCTTTTACATTGTGTTAGGTTATTAATTACGCATCTAATATTTTTCTTTCTTTTCTTTTATTTATTTGTTTGTTATTATTATTTTTTTTTTTTGTAGTTTATGCAAGATTATGAAGAAATTGAGCTTCTATCATAGGATCCCAAAATCAAAAGAAGTTTTAGACGATGGAGAAGAGAATAGAGAGAAGCAAGAAAAATGGCTGAAAATCAAAATCAAATTCAATTACCACTAGATCTACTAGAACAACGAGATCCATTAAGAGCAATTGCCGATCGTGAAGAAGCTTCTATGAATTAAGTCCCACCTCAGCTCCTGTGCAACAGAATATTATATATCTACCTTTTGGACATGCTAACTTCTACATTCAATTAGATGTGATCAACTTGTTTCGAAATCATCAGGGCATCAGCTTTTCTAGAAGATCAACTGAAAATCCTCAGGCATTTTTGATGCATTGCGATATGATCAGTCACAAAGGCATGTCTATTGACACTTTTCGACGATGCCCATGTCCTCACACTTTAAAGAAAGGTGCACGAGAATGGTAATTTCACTAATTCTTGGTAATATTGTTTCATGGAGTGACATGGTGCAGAAATTCACTTTGAAATTCAACCTGCTTTCTTGATTCCATCATATCAGAAATAAAGTCCATATTTTTAAGGAAAGAGAAATAGAGAGCTACCCAAAAGCATAGGAAAGACTCAAAGATTACCTTAGAAAGTATCCCAATCTAAAAGTTCCTAAAGACTCTGTGATCTATATATTCTATTTAGGTCTGAGACCTGAATTTTGGAACATAGCTGATACTTAACCAAGAGGGTCAATTTTGGATATTCCATTGGACAATTCTTTAGGCCTTTTTTGAGAGAATTGTAGAAAATCAGTCCATGTTGCCAATAGATAGAAAAGTGCCAAGGAAAACATTGACGATTCACGACATAGATGTAGTGACGGCAATGGCAGCCCAGCTGGAAAGACTAACAAATAGATTGGGCAAACTAACTTAGAATATGAGCATGGTGTACAAACTACCATTAGTCTATGGGGATTTTTAGGTAGATCATACAATTGCAAATTGTCCATTAGCATCCATGCATGTAATCCAAACTGAGGAGGTTAGTTATGCAAATAAAACAATCCTTACTTCGAAACCTATAATCCAGGTTGGAGCAAGCATCCTAATTTCTCATAGGTTAATAATAGGGTCAAGGATGTTAGATTCATGGCAACCACAAGGATTTTAGTAACAACAAGAGAAGAAGTCATCATTGGAGAAATTAATGTTTCAGTTGATTACCAAAGTGAGACTAATTTCTAGAACCATCATGTTATTCTTTAGAACTAGCAAGCTACAATTTAAATTGGAAACTCGAGTGGGACAGTTAGCAGTTATATTATTCAATAGAACACAAGGTACCATATCAAGCGACATAGAAAAGAACCCACACGATTATTATGTATGGGATGAAGCATATTGATATTGGGTTCATTTTGAAACTTGTAATTAATTAGAATTTTTTAACTCGAGGAAAAATCGATTTGGATAAGCCAGCACCAAGATATTGCAGTTTGAAGAAATCATAAAAAAAACTAACTTTTCAACCAATTTAAATCTTGGAATGGAATGGCCGCAGACAAGTGTAGGATAAGTTGGTTTTTGGCCATTATTTTATCGGTTTTGATTTTGAAAGAATAGCTGTCACAGATGGTTGGATAGAGATGGTATCCTTTTAGATTGAATAAAATAACGAGGTAGTACAATTTGACTAGATTTTGTTGCACGAATTTACCTTTATCAAATAAAATTTTGGTCTATCTATTACTCTAGTCTACACCTATATATATATATAGGCATAATGAAAAGTTTTACTCACACCAAATTTTATAACACATACGGTGGAGAGAGAGAGAGTGTGTGTGTGAGAAATCACAAAATTTTCATACATCAACTATCACTGTCGGTCAATAATCTTTCACCAGAGTAAAAAAAATTTGGAACGTGCATTCAAATACTTTTTTCGTGCATATTTCAATAACAAGGTAAGATACTTTATGTGCAAAGTGTTTTCGTTTCATTATGCTCTTATATGCAATTAAATATGCATGGATTACTAGTGGACCTTCAGGTTCTTTAAAAAGATAGATGGGATCCTACGGGATATAAGAGGAACTAAGATGGGCGTGTCGTTTGGTCACCGATATACTCCATAAGAGTAGAGTGGTATGACATGTAGATTTTATTGTTATATAATTGTGTATAGAAACTGCACGTGTCTTACTGGGTATTTTCGAATACTCACTCTTACAATTTTTACAGGTTAGTTTGAGTCGATTGGAACGGTGTGGAATGGTGATGCGGGCTGCCAAGTGGATCAAATGAAAATAAAAAGAAATGAGTTTACCGTCTTTAAATTTATCAATTAGTTTAATTTTGTTCCAAATGTGTTATTTGAATTAGTTAGGAGTATATGTTATGTTTAGATACAATTTTATGTTTTATATATAGATTTATAAATGTTGCAGTTATTTGTTTAATAAAGAATTTTATTTTTATAGCTCCGCACTTAAAATAAAGAAAAATGAGTTTTTCGTAACGTTCTGAAATTTATAGAAAATTGGGGCGTTACAGTAGTGGTAGTGGTGGTACTAATGATGGATCACTTTGTTGGATGGCTCTGATGATGATTGGAATGACTTTGATAATTTTGATTTCAGGTACAAAAAATTAAAAACTAGCAAAGGCAGTTTGTCTAAAAAAGAAGAGATTCAAAGACATTTGATGGAACCAAATGAAAAGATGTAGCTGATGCAAATTTTGATATTTTGAATTGGTGGAAGATATATACTCCAAGATTTAAAACTTTGTCAAATATTACAAGAGATGTGCTTGTCATTCATGTATCTACAGTTGCTTCTGAGTTAGCAGTTAGTGCTGGAGGGCGCATTCTTGATTGTTTAGGAGTTCTTTAACACCTATAACAGTCGAAGCTTTAATTTGTACCCAAAATTGGTTATGAGAAGAAACTAGACTTTTGAGAGTAACTCAAGACAGAATTTGCATTGGGGAGACGGAGTTCTATGAAGAAATTGAGTTTGGTAATAAAAATTTCGTAAAATATTTTCACGTAACATCTAATTAATTGTAAATGATTTTAATTTATTTTTGTTTGTTCAAATGTGTATTTGAATTATGTTTGTAGAGTTTCTTAAAGTTACAACACAAGCAATGGGGTATTAAACGGTTAATGATTGTCTAGATGCTAAGGGCTAAGTTTCTTGGGTCGGTCATTTTGTCACCATTCCTATCTACTATTTTTAAGTTTTAATTTTATATTTCAGTTTCATATTTCATTTTTCTCATGTAGGTTTGGTGGGTTCATGTAGAGGAATTGATTGGATGGAGGATGCAGATGAAACTTGATATTATTAACTTTTGGCAAAGAAACATTCGTTTATATTTTGTTTGTTAGTTTGAACTTCTGAAATCTTGATGATTGATAATTTGAATTTACTAAATGTTTGATGCTTATATTTTTTATTTAAGTATATATTACTAACCTATGGATATGGCGTAAGTTTGAAAGTTTAAGTAATAGAACTAGAACCAAACCAAACCGTACCAAAATCAAATGGATCGGTTCAGTTTGGTTCCATACCTTTAAAAAAACCATCTGGTTATGTTATCAAGAAAACCATTGGTTTATAGTTCGGTTCAGTTCTCTTAAAACCAGAATCATGTCCACCCCTAATTTGAGTCATACCATTCTAAAATTGGAGTGGGAAATTTCATCATTTATGGTAGAATTTCAGTTAAGTTTGGTGTTTGGAGATTTGAGTTAGCAGTTTCACCATTCATTCACCGTTGTCTTGTTTCAACATCAATGGCTGTCCTGTCAAAGATGGAAGCAATTGGGAAAGGACACACAAAGATAATGGTTTATAGTAGTGTTTGACTCATACAGTTGATCCTTAATGGACGTTTTGAAAGGAATCCATTAATGGGACGGTGGTCGTCATAAATAGATGGAAGGTTGGGATAAGAGTGCCAAAATATAAAGATTCGAGACAAAAATGCAAAGACCCAAACTTTGAGGTGGCATTATGCCCAAATGAGAGAAAAATACATTGAGCGTCAAACTTTGAAATATGCTTAAACTTTTTAGCAAAATTTATTTAATTGGTTTTATTATTTAAACAATTATTTTAAATGAGGAATGTTATTTATAATCGCTTATTGCGGTAGTCGCTGTATATAACATCTTACATGGCGATTATGATTTGATAAATTAATGTTGTAGTTTTTTCTTGCATCATATATCAAATCACCAACCATCACATGTATGTCACGTCACGTAGGGCGACTACGATAGCAAGTGACTGCAAATACAATTATTCTTTTAAATTGATGTTGTAGCCTCAACATTATTCTAACCAATTAAATATCTTGCACATGTCATAGTTTATTTTGTGTGGAAGTATTTTATAGTTGGTTAACAGATTTTGGATTTGCATTTGTACCATTATCCACTAATCGTTGTTTCCAGATACGGTTGCCAGTTGATATCTCTTCTACCCTATTCATTCCTAGATTCCCAAATTGATTGTCCCTACCTAATTGCATGAGCCACAAAAACGGGAGGAATATTATGTTGACGAGAGATAAGGGCCTAAGAAGGCGAGGAGAAAAAGTATAGCACCAATAAATCCATGAGAGATTGTTTTAAAAGGGCTCCATTGAGGTGGAGAATAATAAGATATTGGAAATACATATACCACAGTCTTACCGCTAGGCATAGAGCCTACGTTCGATTAGGTAAGTAGCTTCTTGCTCTTCTTTGGAAGCTAATCCACCCCAGTACAACTTGTCTGGCAATCCGACCTCTCTACCTTGGGCACAAATTGGGAGAATTTGTACCTACTTTAAAGATCTCGGCGTTAATCTTTTTTTCTTTTTTTTTGAGCAAGTTACAAATTCTGTCTCGGTAGGACATGTATCCAATTGAGTCACAGGTATCTAACATATTCATACATAACTATTTTCCACAAAGTGGTGAAAAGACAATTGTCTCGCTTGCAAACATAAATGGGTGGGATTAAATAAGGAAAAACCCCTCCCCAAGCCGTGCTTACATTTTTCATTGCACATGACTTTCCGACCCATAATAAAGAACCCCTAGGTGTAACCTTTCGCTCAAACCCGAAATTTTGTGAACAATGCGGAGTCGGATTTTTCGATTCTTGTATTGATTCTTTTTAATGAATCGATCCGATCTTTTCGTAGGTGTTTGCCCCTGATTCAATCGGGGCATCGGACCTTCGAAAATTGGTTGTCACGATCCTTCCAACTATGAATGTTTTTACCGAGTCATTCTTCCATGAATTGCTGAACACGATTCCAAATAGAAAAATTGAAATATAATTCAATACATCCTATTTAGTAGAAAGAAGGGCTGGTTCACTTGAAGAGATTCTTTTCTCGTTTCTGGGTTTTTTCTAAATAGAGCCTAGACAACTTCGTCAAGTGTACTCAATCCAAGTTTCAGTTCAATCAAATGATCAGCGGCTGCCAATATGTCTCGTGGTAACAAAATTGATGACGAGCATAAATACCCTCTTTAACTTCTATTCTAACAAGAGTTATTGAAAAAAAAAATAAAAATAAAGGAGCCATAAACTCTTTCTTGTTCATAAAAATTCCCAATTATCCTTTTGGTGCTATTGGAATTGAGACTTTCAATGGTCCTATTTATACATTTTATTGGCTTTATCTTCGATAACTCATTTGCTTTTAAATTTATTTGTTAATTAATGAGTGATATTATTTAGTACTACTGGAGTTAAAGAACCATATTAGTTGGCATGTAAGTATTATTGATTGATTAAACACCTTAAAAACAAAGAAATGAGTCACATTGATGATGTCTATTACTTATAACCACCTAAATTGATTTCATTACATCAATGGTGTTATATAATATTATTCTAATTCATGGTTGAGATCGTGTTGTTTGAATAAGTGATTGATTTCCATAAAACATGGTTTACTCATATGCCAAAAAACAAAGAACAAAAATTGCGAATCAAATAAGAATTTTAAAAAGGTTAACAAAATTATTACAAACAAAAAGAAATGGGAGATTTTCCAAATTTCAAGAGAGTCGAGGACTATTCCAAGTTAATTAATTTTTTTTAGCATTTTAATTACATTGAATATGAAATCGCTTCTTACTTTACTGATTTTGGAAAGAGATTGTTCAGTGCATATAATTTCAAGAATTATAAAAGATTGCAAGACAAACAAATAAGTGTAATAGGTGTTTATTAATGAGTAATCATCATACCTATGCCACCCAAGTTATTATGATTATTGTATTTATTGCATCCCTAATTATTCTTTATAAATGTAGTCTTTTGCTCTCAATGAAATACACACAAATCTAATGAATTTTAACTTTATTCCCTTTTTCTCTCTATTTTATAAGAAGTTATCAGCATGAAGTTTTAACCAATTGAGCTCCTCTTTTTGATCTCAAATCTCTAGCCATTTGATGTATAAAAAATAATTTTTCCTTTAACAAAAAGAAGAGAGAGACAGAGAAACAGAGAGAAGAAGAAGAAGAAGAAGAAGAAGAAAAAGAAGAAGAAGAAGTTTGAGCAATTGAATTTACAAAGAAAATCTTTTTGCTGCTCAAATAAAATATAATATTCTTTTAAAATGATATAGTTATTCAATTTGATCATATTGTTTTCACTATACCAATTTATAATATATACATATTTGCTTGAATGTAATTTCTTTCATTCAATATTTCAGAACAATATTGAATTATTATTCTTGAAAAAATATAATCTAAACATTATTTCAAAATAGTATTGTAATTGCTTAAAAAAATATTATATTTGCATTATTTTGTTGCTCCTGAAAAGCACAAATTCACGCATATAATATTTAAAATAATATTGTATTATTACTCTTAAAAAAATATAAAATATTTTTGCACATATTCTTGCCTAATTTTAGGTTTTTATTTTTTTTATTTTTTGGGAAACATGACAATCTAAACGATATTTTACCAAATTATTGTGTTAAAACTGCTGAAAACGTAATAACCGTAAGGTTCAAAATAATATTTTATTGTTGATTTCTAAATAAAAAATGAAGTTGAATAAATTAATATTCTAGAATAATTGATTTGATACTCGAGAAAAGACATGACTGTATATATTGTGAAAGAATTACATTTTATTATGGAATGAATAGTTGATGTCTAACATTTCGTAGTCTGAATTTGAACAGCAAGTTCATCACTCATTGTTCTTCACGTCCAACAATCTATTCATGAGATATCTATACTAAAACAGCAATTAAATTCTTCCAAAAATATATTTAAAAAAATGCATTGATTGGTAGTCCTAATGTCAAAATGTATATTTTGGAGAGCCATGTACGAAACCCATCAACTCCTTTCCACAAGCTCATATATTCTTTTTGAATTGACTGTTTAGTATAAGAATTGCATATTGTGTTCTAGTGCATACATGCACATCAATTTTTAATTGATAAAGTTTTCTTTTACCGATTGTTATCTATAGATTATAATCATTTCACTGTGTTTATACAAGTTTTGTTCTCGATTTGCATGTTGTAATTTATCACAACATAAAATATATTTGTTGTACATATTTAATTGGTATGTTTAATTTGTTGTTGTTTTTTAAGAAGCACAACATTATATTATTTTGAAAGAATATTACTTTTCATGAAGAGTATGGTATTACCATTTCAATATTCCAAAAGAATATTGACTTTTTGCTCCAAAAGAAACACAATTTCATATTAAATTAATGTACGAGAAGAATATCAGTTTGTTGTGCAATGAAACACAGTGAAAATATTTAAATATTTCAAAAGAAAATTGTAGAATGTTTGAATCAATTTATACAATTCAATATTTTAAAAGAATATTGCACTGCTTTGAAAAAGCACAATTCTTATTTTTTTATATTTTTGAAAAATATTATGTGGTTATTCTTTAAGGATTATAAATTAATACACTTCAATGTAAATATTCTATCGTAAAGAATTTCAATTTTAATTAAATTACTTTTAAGTAGGCAATAGATTATTATACAATATTTCAGAAGAATGTTTTGAAACTCCAGAAAAGTCAATATTGTATAATATGAAGAGACGGACTTATTATTGCTATAATTTGTTCTCCATTATATAAAAGAGAAATCTACGAAGTTTCTAATAGTGTTTTTTAATTGGAACACTATACTAATATTAGTACAATTGAAATAAATATTATATTGAACCCAAAGTTCAATAACTCTTATATATTATTTATTTGACTT